TGATTCAAATTAACATCATTTTCGACAGGAGCATATTAAAAGGAACATTTCCTCAAATTTTAATTTAAAACTTGACCTGCACGCTGAGATATTGTTACATCAGACTAATGTAGGAGTGCGTCATGAAGTACAAACAGTTTATGGTATCTAACTAGCTTTCCTACTGACCACTGACAACAGGGTCTAGACATGAAGAGCTCACCCATGTGACAGTAACATAAACTTAAACTGGAAGAACAGCCTAGTCGCACCAACTTTATATAACATTTTTTGCTCCCTCAAAGTAATGACTTCTCAAAAGTAGGGACCCCCGAAAGTAACAAGCCCCAAAGGCTGCTAAGTCCAAAAGTGATGAGGCTTGTTACTTTTGGAAGTTTACAGTAACCAGGGTCCCTTTTAAACATTTACACCCAGTGACAAAATTGGGTGTGTTCCCTAAATTTGATGAAATTAAATGTTAGAATCTTACCTGTAGGTTCTGTAAGAGTTAATTTTCCCCTTGGTTTTAAGATCCTGGCAATTTCTGCCAGAAGATCAAGACTGTGAACCAGCTGAGATGGCAATATCACTCCAGATAACACAGCATCAAATGATGAGGCAGGATGAGAGGCTGTGAAATAAATGAAACACTTCTGTTTAAGTTATCCGTGACTCCCTTAGGTAATGAGGTGGTTGAAATACCTTAAAAGGGTTACCAGTCAAAACTTTCCCAAGACAAAACACCCTTTTCTGGCTATATATATTAATTTGTTGTTTTTTAACTGTGCCATAAAAAAGTTTAAAAGTGTACATAAAAGTCACAGGGGCATTTGGACTTGGGCAGTTTGTCTTAGGTGCAGTTTGACTTACAATTACATTAGATATTGCATTTAACCATCAAAATGTAAGTAATGTTGAATCATCTCAAAAATGGACAAACTCTCTTTTCATTTCAAACTCCAAGAAGCAATGTTCTTTGATTAAAAAGCTGTTCTTTATCATCAGGGACTTGGTAAAAGTGGTTTCAGTTTAATTTACT